TTATATATATTTTATATAATATATATTTTAAATAATATATATATTTTTAATTTTAAATACAATTAAATGTATAATATATTAAAAATTCAAAAAAATTCGCGCATTAAAAGAAAAGAAATTTTAAATAATTCTGAAAGTTAAATATGATTTATCCACAATTAATTTTTAAAAAAGCTATGACGGTATATTAGCAAAACATCGCATTGTGAAATTTCAACAAAGAAATGTGTGATGCAATATTGCGCGTTAAGCGTTATGAATAATATAATACATATTCAATATAATATGGAAATGTCGATTTTATCGCAGAATTTCCTCGAAAAATGTCTCAGTCCTGCGTAATCTGTAATTTAGAGAATTCTTACGATATCGTCAGCTCGGCTGAAGGTTAATACGCAGTTGATAAGAAAGTTCAATGATCTTATAATATTATTTTCACAACCGTGTGAACGCGACACGATATGTTTGTATCCGTAAAAGTTATACAATTATTAACAGTCAACATTCGTCATACAATTCAATGCATCACAGGAAAGTTTATATCGAGAAACATATAACTTCAAATATTTTTTTATATGCGTAACAATTATGTTATTGATATAATTTATGAAAACACGGGCGTGTATTCAAATCATAAATAATACATAAATAGTACATAAAAATTATACATAAATAATACATTTAAAAAATAAATACGGTTAAAAAACCAAAAGCAATATGCTGTGTCTGTTGTTTTAACGGCGTAGCTTTAATCTAATTTTATTTCTATTATTCTATATTGTTTTGATTTCCATTGAATTTATTATTAATTTTTAGCAGAAATGGTCAGAATTCGAATGCACATTTTTTCCGTCCGCATTTGTCTCGATTTAATTTTATAAATAGTTTAAATGCTACATGCATTCAATCTAGTTTGAAAAATTCTGCAAAATTGAAAATACATTTTAATCTATCTGTTCTGTTATAAAAATTGCAACGTTTTCAAAGATTGGACCATTTAAATATATTCAAACACAGGTTGCTGTTTAATTGCTACTTCTGTAAATAATTTTCATATTATTGATTTAAGATTATTAATAAAAAAAATTAGTTTAATTTTATAAAAGATAAGATCTTTTATTTAACATAAAAAATATTTTGACAAGCTGCATATATACACAATTCTTTAAATGCCATAAAATAATGTATATCATTCCGGAATCATTATCTTTAATAAATAAGCAGTTACATAAGATACAGTAAATAAGGAATAAAATATTTCTTTTAGGCATTCTGTGTAAGAGCATTATTTGAAAGCGTACATGTTCATATATATATTCGTGCGTATAGATATTTAGACTGACGCCAAATAAAAAAATTACATTTCAAAAAAATAACAAAAAGATAATTATTTACAATGACTGTCCCTTTGAACACCAGTGATCGAAAATCAGTTATTTAATTTGGTCGTTAATGTTTATGGACAAAGAGATCGATGTGTATTTCTGAATTATTTATAGATCGCATATAAACAGTCTAGAGACAGATATTATGATTTATCTCACCAAAAAAAAATTTGATTTATACGTATCAGAAAGAAAATATTTCCAAATTGTGACATCTTGTAAATCTGATCTAAAATATTTTCAATCACTTTAAATATCTCTATGTCTTAAATCGATGACACAAAAGTGTCATACAATTAAATCTTTTTCTCTTTGATGCTATCCATTCAACAGTTTGGTAACTTCAATACCTACTGAACAATTTTATACGTATAATACAAACAATACATTCTTTTCAATATAAAACTATCCTTTAGAACATCTTCTTCTTAACCGCTGTGTAGCGTTCCATGTACATGTCGTAACCATCCAGCTCTGCGAACTGCTTCATCTCAAAGAGATTTCCTTCGAGCGCCAATACCGAGACCTTAGAGCCCTTGAGGAGTCTGATGGGCACCGAGCTCAGCTGTAGGCAGTTCTCCTCCAATCTTAACGTTTTCAATCGCGGACAATCCGCCAGCTTCTCAGAAATGGTGGTGATTTGATTCTGATTAAGATTAAGCTCGATCACATGGAGATCAGCGGCAGCTTCCGGCACTATCGTAAGCCGATTCTTGGACAGATCCAGGACATCCAGGTGCCTGAGACCGCAGAACATCAGCGGGAAGTCGGAGATCTGATTGTCGGACAAATTGACCTGCTTCAAGTGGTTCAGATTTCCCAGCGACGACGGAATTGATCTGATCTGATTCGCGGCGCAGTTTAGGCCCTCGAGTTTCTCAAGCGAGCCCAACGTGCCAGGCAGAGCGGTCAGTCGGTTATGGCTGAAGTTCAGCTGCTTCAGCAGCGTGAAGTCGCCGATCTCGTTCGGCAGTGTCGTAAAACTGTTCTCGGACAGATCCAGGGTGCGCAGAGTCGGCGCTAGGTCGTGGAGTTTCCGCGAGAACTTGTCCAGCTTACACTGCGACAACTTCAGGGTAGCGGTTTTCTCCGCGGTCTCGTAATGCCTCTTCAAGGCGGAGTTGCCCATGTTCAGTGTCTCGATATCCTTGCGAGAAACAATTGCGCGGGCCTGTCAACGTAGTCAAGGAATTAATTGATCGTACCGATCTAACGTAACAGATATCATGTGTCACTTTCGAAGCAGAATTTTATCGCAAGATCGCAGCGTACTTTTTATCGTCCGGACGATCTTTTATTTTAAATTTGAAATTTGAGTAATTATGCTTGGATTGTTTCGCAAAGTGCATACGATCAAGTTTTTATTTCGTTCGTTTTTTTTTTATGAAGTTCGTGTTGCTTGCGCTTTTTATGTTCAGAATCTTCGCTTTCTCTTTTTTCCTTGAATATATTTTATAATTTCTTTTTGCAAATATTTTTATGGATTTCAAGCGACACGAACAATATTACGATTCTCGAAGATATACAATCGTCGCGTGAAAAAGGGGTTGCAACGCGCCGTACTCGCACGATTCAAAATAATTCGCGCGCGAATTTCTCCGGAGCGACGCGAAATCGGTGAAACTTTCGCGAGGGACTGTAGAGCCGTCGACGCGTTGCCAAATAAACTTTCCACACGGACTGTATTATCGCCTGCGGCGCACGGTGACTTTTGCGCGGTGCTGTAGCGGTGCGCGCGGTCGGTGGCTGTGTTCACTCCGTTGACGAGATTTTCGTAGCGCGGAATCGCCGCGCCGGGCGACGTGGTTAAGTTTCACAGAGTGCGGCGTGAGCGATACACACGTCTCGTTAAAGCGCCTCGCTCGCGGAGACACGTGCGAATACACGCGGACGTACGTCCGCCGTCAACTCGTAGTTCGTACCCGGCGTTCACAGAATAAGCACGCAGGAGTGAAATGTCACGCGATTGATAGCGCGTCCGCCATAACCAGCCCATCCGGTTTCGCGTCCCCGCCGCCCGATGGCGGGTTGCGCGCTCGCGCGCGCGCGCCCGCTTGCCCGAAAAATGGCCGACAAACGAAGATGTAGCGATGCGCGTCGGGTTTACAACAGACTGAAAACGCCGCGGCAGCCTTCAGTGCATAGTACATGATGCGGCGGTGCGTGGAAGTGGTGAGATAGTGAGATCGACGTCACCGGCGAGCGACATACCAGGGTAAACGATGGCCTCCACGCCGAAGACGGAGAAGCACACAGGTAAGATAACCACTACCCGTTTGACGACGACTGAGAGCGAGCGAGCGAGCGAGAGGGAAGGAGCGCGCGCGCGCGCGAGAGAGAGAGAGAGAGAGAAAGAAAGAAAGTAAGAGAACGAAAAGAGCGAGCGAGTGAGAGAGAAACGATAGGAGAGGGCGCGTACGCGATAAGCATGCGAGACCGCGCGACGTTTTCTATCTTCTTCCCTTGCGAGGCTCCGGATTCTTCTGAATAAAAAAAAAAAGGAAGAAACGGATGTCGCGTCGCGTGTTCGCAGTCGTATCGTTTGATGTTGATTTTAATTCTCGGTTATCAGCGCCGCCGGTATCTCAAACTCGGCTGACTTAATGAAAGCGTATGATATAATCGGTGGCGTTAACCTGACGATGCTACCGGATGCGAAACGTCAAAAGCATATGTGTGCCGCATGCACGCATGATTTTTTTCCTGTTTCTGTGAAGAACGAGATGCCCCCAGAATATATCCGTCGATATTCCTACAGTTGCGTTTTATTCGGGAAATCCGACATATTTACGATAATGACAGAAAGTCATTAGATTGTCGAAGAAAAAAAAAAGAGGAAAACACGATTGGTTTGCTTATTCACGAGGTATTCTCTCCTCGCGATCGTTTCCGTTCGCATGTTCGCATTGAAAACAAGGTGTGCTAAGAATCTTGATTTGTTGTGTCTTGGTTCTAATATGCGCCTAGTGATTTCGTGTTCCTTCCCAATTAATCATAGCTCTTGCCATAATCGAGCATACTGATAGCTTGGGTCAACCCATTCTAGACAACAATTCAATTTTGTTTTCTACAGTGGAAAGTGATATAGTTCCTTTATTTCAAAAGTGACAACGAAAAATTAAATTTCTCCCGAAAAAAAATATCTTAATTACAAAGAAAAATTTTCTTTAAATATAAGATATTATATAATATCTTATTTTCAAAGAAATTTTTATTGATCCAAAGAAATCATTTTTTTTGAATACAAGCAAAGAAATATTTTTTTGAAATTAAGATATTTTTTTTCAGTGCGAGAAAGGAAAATTTTTTCAACTTGATAGAAAATTAATTAACTAATCAAATCGGTAAAACGAATATATTATTAATGTGATACAAATATCATTTGTGTCACATTTTTGTTTCTATCCTTCTTATCCTTTAAAAAACCATTTTTTTTAATGACACTTTATGATTGTTTATAAAATTAAATTCATTTTTGATAGGATAATGTTTACTTAATTCATTAACGATAATTATTTGAAAAATCATTTCTTTTTTTAGTTGTGTCATTTTGAAGGGAGCGATATGTAGTTAGAAATAGATTAGACAAAGTTATATCGATAGCTTGGATCATTTCAAGCAGACAACATTGTTTTCTATGATAGAAAGAAAAAAAGACGATATTTAATTAGAAATAGATTAGACAAAATTATATCAATCGTTTGAGTCAATCCATTCCAAAAAAAGACAACATTGTTTTACGATAGAAAGAAAAAAAGATGATATCTAGAAATAAATTAAACAAAACTATACCGCTTGGATTAATCTATTCAAAGCAGATAATTCAACTTTGTTTTTTATGATAAGAAGAAAAGAAAAACATGATATTTAGTTAGAAATAGATTAAAATCAGAACTAGAAATTATCCAATCTAATCAAATAAATTGCAGTCACGAGTTGTAAACGAGCAATTTTCTTTGAAAAGCGCAATTAAATTCATCAAGATTTGATTTTGAACGTACTTTAAATGATACTTTAAATGATATTTACGCAAGTAAGTAACTCTCACTTTTTACAAGAATGCTCTGATATTTTTCCAAGGTTCATGATCCAGCTGTTTTCACAAGATGACAAGCACGCTCATCTTTATTTGCAAGCGCGTGAAAAATGTTGAAATATCGCAAAAAGAACCAACTTTAACAAATATCTAAATGTAAAAGTGAAACTTATATAATTTTCTTTTTATGTTCAAGAAATTCATAATGAACTAATTAAACTTTATTACTTTTATTTATTATATTAATTATTATATAACTTACGTGATCTTATTGTAATTTGATAGACAATATGTTGATCTACTCTAGAGACAGCAATTTCTGTGGAGACTCCAGAAAGAATTGAAATAAAATAACGGATTGGAAGGGGAGCTAAATATCAATTTAAATACCTGTGATTTTCAGTTTCAAGGCGGTCTCCTCTTTTTCTCGTGGAGAATTTTTTAGTACAGAATCGTATTGGCGGTAATAGCCAGTGGAGTATGTCAACAAACTTTACACCCGTCCAGGCAACCCCGGGTCGTGATTCGCACAGCTGGCCGTGTCACGAGCTTTTCATCCCACAATTCTCTTCTTCCGAACAAAGACCTATCCCACCTTGCCCCTTTCCCTGGTTTGACCTGACCGAGAACGATTGTATTTTTCGTGGCGATTACGAATCTTTTCTCCCTCTGCCCTCGTTGGCTGCTCTCTTTCTTGCGTACCACGAACACGCCCCTCATGCATTTCTCGTTTTGTTGTCGTCCCCTATTTCATTGAAGACGCGACGTCCTTTTGCCTTCGCGCAAACTTGTTTTTTTAAATCATCATTTTTTGCAATCTATAAAGTCTTATATCAGACTAGAGATTAAGTTTAAGATTGAATTTGATCAATTGAGATTAAGACAAATTGAGATTAAGACTCAATTTAATCAATCAACAGAAAGAAAATCAATATCAAAGTTCTCTAAATTTGATATTTCTTTCTGTTGATTGATTAAATTGAGTCTTAATCTCAATTTCTAATCTGATATGACTATAAGTCAAATTTAGATTCTCGGAATTTGGAAAAAATTATTCAGACATCATATGAAAAAATAAAAGGCTAATTTATCAATTGTCATATTTTTATTTTGCATTTTTAGTGACATAGAAAAATAATTAATGATTAATTAATGATATAAAATGATATAAAAATTGGGAATTGACAAATGAAAATCGTGGCAACAATTAATTATTTAAATAAAAATATAATAATAAATTAATTATATTTTAGATGAATGTAATTAATAATTGAAGGATTGACTGCAGCAATGGGTTAACGTAGCCGAAAATGTGATATTGGTAGAAATAAATGAATGACAAAGGCTTCTATTTGTCTCAAACGTTTTCATAAGATATGAATTAGCTCGTTGTTACAATAAGCCCTTCAATTTAACGTAATTTTCAATTCTTTTGGTAGAACAGTTGGGATTCATAAATAAAGTGATAATATACTATAAATAAAAGTGGCTGTTAATTGTGTCTTACAATTAGTAATTTAATATTATTTAATATAACATTCGATTTCTTTAGTAGAACAATTTTCCATGGAAGAAAATAATTATTTTAAATTTTTACAGTAGTTGGTATTTTAATATTTTTAATGTGCAACATGCAACTGATATATGAATATATAAATTTAAGCTCTTCGTTGAATATCATATTTGACGTACAATGTACATGTTATTGTAAAAATTGCATTGTCAAATTGTCAATATTTCAGACATGTGAGATATTTCACTCTTGTGTCTTAAAAAATTTCTCATTATATCTTTGTAATAACATCCGTATGTAATGCTGAAAGAAAAATAATGGAAAAGTATTTATTTTTCCATAACACACGTGCAAGTGTCGCATACAAAATCACGAATTTTCTTATTAGAAACAGATATAATGTGTATGATATAATCTATTAGACTATTAGAGTTTGATAATACACAATGTAACAGGTGTAGCTTATCAGAACTGATACGTTACGACCTCGAAGAGATATAGACAGAGGCACTTAAGTAAGGGTAGTTCGATCAATTTGTCGAATAAAACTAACAACAATAAATCCTATCTGTTTCACGTAATTGCGTTTAATCGAGTTGCTCCATTCGCTGCATCAACCGTAACGTGTTTATCGGTGCGGTGCGGACATTACTTTTTTTTGTTCATCGTGTCCTCTGTGTTTTCTCTCTTGAATGAATTAGCTCGCGTTCAATCGCTCCAAGCAAAACGCGGAAGCATTATTCCGTATTTTCGAGATTTTCGAAGTTTTTAATCGAGATATCGGGGTAAATTTCATTATATCCAGAAAATAGCTCGATGGAAAAAAATCTCCAATATTTTCATCGCTTGCGGCCGTAGCCGATTGTCAAATATATTTCGCTTGAAATCTCATTTTGAACAATAAATACCATATAATATCTCTTTCTCTCTCTGAGAGAATAGAGAGGAATGCTATATTACATTGTGATTTTTGTGGCTGGTGCTACAAGTGAGATCATTGATAAATCCGTCGCATAACCGCGATGTAGTCCTCTGAATGGCGGACTCATTAAATTTCTAGGAGAGGGGTTAGATATAGTCGCATTGAAATAATTCTATAGTGGCAAGTGCACTACGTTGTGCAGGAAACGTATGACGACGCTGTGCGATGCCATTGAATGCCGTCGGCAATATCTCGTCCCGAGATTCAAGTAATCTTACACGGGAGAGGCGGAGTGCAGAAGGTGGAAGCGCGAGATCGGTATCTCGTCAGATCCACTTCATCTCGTCGGATCCTTCGTCTCTGTTTCGTTGCTATTGTGCCCATTATAGCCTTTGTACGCGGCTGCTTTAGTCGCGTTGCTGCCTAATCCGTAGACTCCTTTCTTCATTACTGCGACTCTGCTTTCGCTAATATCTGTCGCTAAAAGCCTTTTCATACTTGCAAAATAAAAATTTCTGAAATACCCTCGCCTCGTTTCTAGATAAAAGATAGAAGACTGTCCGTCGGATAACGAAATTGTTTATATAAATGCGAGAACGAACCTTTCTATTTAGTATTTATAATGAAAACGGTAACGTGCGACTCGTATATTCTTTATAATTGTTCGTAAGACAAGCATAATGATTCTGAAGTATGCATAATGAATAGTTAATTGCATGTATAAAAAGAGTTGGGAATACGGTAATGAATACCTCTTCGAATAATTTATGAGCATTTATATAATAGCATTTATATAAATAACTTAGCA